TGATGAAGAACCACTAGGAACATCCGAAGCAACAAAGGAATGATATGCCTTCTTTTCAGAAATGCCAAACTTGGAGCCCGTTTGATAGATGTATTGAAGAAAGTGGGTTGAGAAGGAGCAAGTGGTGGAGAAAGTAAAGCAGATGGTGTGATAGTGGGAGTAGAGAATATTAGGTTGTTGAAGAGGATTGGAAGGGTGAGAAATATGAATCAATTGGGAAAAGAAAAGTGATGAGTCATAAGAAGGATAAGAAGGATAAGGAGAAGAATTGGAAAAGTTGGCAAAACAATACAATCCTCATTTGCAAAAAAAACGCATAATTTTTTGATGACGCAATTGATGAAGCCAATGAACATGGAATGAGATATAAGTCATTTTCACTCTTCCCCTAGTACAAGATCCTTTACGTGACATTGTCCTGAACAAGGAACTAATCAAAATAAAAAATAAGTAAATAGCCAATTGTTATCACGACAACATTGATAAACAGAGAGTAAATTTGAGGCAACGATGGGAGAATGAAGGCTATTAGAAAGGTGAAAGTCATTGGAACAAGATTGTAAATATTTCGAAGCAGGAACAAAGGAGACTAAGTTATAGAAGAATTAACAAGAGAAGAAGAGGTTGCACTTGAGGAAGACATGTTGGAAAAAAAAATGTAAGGAAACCCAGTAGAGGTGTGTTGATGGACTCCATACCATAAAACAACTCAAGCAAATATACGAGTAACTTCTGTATTTTTATTAAAGGATACATGGTCTATTCGTAATCAGTCACCTAATACAAATTGGAACTAAATAACAAAGATTAACAACTTGTAGAGATACAATGACTACATATAAAGAGTTGTATAAAAAATTTATATAACAAACTCATTAATTTAAGCAACTAATTAATAACTAAATAATTAATCAATGACTCTCCTTCTTTCTTTTCACTTTTTAAATCTAAATATTGCATTATGAAGTATATTAACAATAATGTCATAAGTCAAATGCAGCATGAACATCATTACAATAATCAGACAAAGAACTTCGTAAAATAATCAATTAATTTTTTATTAGGTTCATCCCAATTAGCAAGATCATAAGTAATTCTTTTGAATTCATCTCCTAGTAGGAAGTGTTTATGCAAGAGTTTGCACAACGGTTTTTTACGAATCGAGCTCGAACCCGGTCTCCGGTTCCGACCTGAACACTAGAGTGGACATGCACAAGAGGGTAAGCACTCTGACGCTCAAGTCTGTATAGATCGGATTCTGTATTTAGTTCGAGGTGAGATTCGATACCTGAGCGTGAAATGAAGCCCTCTATTTATAGGTGATGGATCCGATAGTACACACGACCGGCGGTTATATGTCTTTTCTCATGTCGAACCTGTCGGGTTCCAAGCAGGTCGGACCCAAGCCAGGTCGAACTGTAATGCCCATACTTAGCCTTTTTTGTAATGGGCGAACCCGGTCTCCTCGGTAGGGCCGAGGTGGACCTAGGCAATCCCTCTTATTCAGCTTCCACAAACACCAATGAGAGTCTTCCACGTGTCCCGGGCACATTTTACCCCCAAACATTGGCCCCCTCACTGTCAGGTTCGATCTCGACCTGGCAGAGAAGTTCATTCGAATCCATTCTGGACACGTGGCGACTTTTCATTTGTAGAGGGAATATGACCGTTGCAGAAGACGTTTCGATCTGCCAGGTTGTCGGAGCACTCAAGTGTTCCGCCGTTGCGTATCTCGAGAAGATCCTAGCCGCTCGTTGACTACACGTGTACGGCGCAGAGGTTTTTCCGATTAGCTATAAATAGTCCCGAAATTTCAGGTCAAACCTCACGTTTCCTGAATTTCTAGAGTTCGATCTGAAACCAGCTCTAACCTTCTGTAGGTCAGTCATTTTCGCTTTACTTTCTTTTCGAATATGGTGGTGTTCTTGTCTTCCCCCTCCAGTAGTGATAGCCTGGGTAGTGTAGGTCGGACCATAAGTAGTTCACCCCCCAAACCAAGCGATTCTGGGGAGGTCTTAGCTCGAAGGTTGGAGTCCGAGTTGGAAGAAATAGAGAACTTTAGGTTCTCAGACGATGGAGAGGATAGTGATACCTCCACATCGGGTCAGGGTCTGGAGTACCCTTCAAAGATTCCCGAGCACTATCTCGGACCCCTCCATAGGGGGTTTAAAATTCC